AATGCACTGAAATATATATTAATAAAAAAGAAGCCTTTTTATTCTTATTTTTATTAAGCACACTATTGCACTGAAAATATCAAAAATAAACTACAAGTGCTTTGTCCAATGACTAATGAAGAAATTAATTATTAGTATAAAAGCACTCTAATAAACTAGTACCTGTATGCTCTCTTTGAGAACTGTTACCTTTCTAAGACATGACAATTTTGATGGTCATGCATTGCTTAGCAAATCCTCTATATTTTCTGGTTTTGAACAGTTGTCTGTATATACTACATGCATTATTTATAGAACTAATGGAATCCTTTTACAGGAGTTAGATCTTTCAAAAAGTAATGATAATTATTTTTTAGTCAGTGACCAGAATATTTGCCAGCTTTTCAGTTGCCTCACAGAAAGGAGAATGCCGTCTATGAAGTACAAAAAAAGAGGTTCAGGCAGCATTTAGAGTTTTTTTCACATGATCTTATCAGTATTAGGCAGAAAATTATTTAGAAATTGAACATGGTAACATAGATTCATATGTGTACATGCTAACAGTACCCAGTCTGGCAAACTTCATAGTCTGAAAGGGACTCTGAATAATCCCAGAAATGTATTGAAGCCACTTCCTATCTGTGCAAGGAAACACCTTGCATGTAAGCATTGCCACAAAGCGCAAGAATGGACTATGTCCCTTATACCTTTGTGTTTCTGCTTTCACTTGGACTCTGAACAGGTGTGGACATTTGTGCACACTGCAAGGTCAGGAAGAATAAAAAGGTCATGCAGTTTTATGGAAAATGGAGATATGATGGCATTATAAATACCTGTTTGTTACATTTTTCTGTTTAATGCATTGTGTACGATCAGGTGTACTTTGCTAAATCACCGCTTGACAGTAAGGAGAATGGAAAAGATGAGATAATGTAGCATATTGTTGTATTCTGACAAATATTTCTAAGCTTTGAAGTGATGAGTGCAGTGTTTTAAAATATGGACAATATTCTCTTATATCCATCGTAATTCTGCTTTGGGCCTATTTTAAATGAGAGATCTGTCTTACTGGGCTCTTTAATTACAGAAAATCACTGTTTCATAATTTTACAAATGCTGTCTTGCTTAACATATTAAGCAAAAGGAACAAGCTCAAAGAATGGGAAGAAGGTTACATTGTGAATATCTACCCTGATCAGAGAAATAAATTGCTTGAATGAGTCTTCTTCCAAAAGTTAAGATATTTCTTAGATGGATTTATTCTCCTATAGCGCTGAAACAAGATATATGTCAAAGATAATTTCTTGCATAATTGCATATGAAAAGTTTCAAAAGATATAGAAGTGCTGATGCTAAATTTACATATCCTTAAAAAATATTCCTTGTCTTTATGCAAATAAACATACAGATACACTAAAGGTTGAATGCAGCAGAAATAACTACAGAATACAGAAATAATTACAGAAGTATCAAACAAGAAACAGAACAGCATTTATGTGAAAAAAATCTTGATTTTACATAAATCTGTCAATACATGACACATTTGAATAATAAAATATTGTAAAATATACAAAATTAAATAGAAGAAAATAAAATATATTTTGAAATGCATATAGTATGCATTCATGACTGTAGTAAGTCAAGGAATTTGAATTCTGTGAAATTCTTATCTTCTGTTATGGGGGAACAGCATAGATTATTTTACTAAACAAAACATGCACTCGGAATAAGATGCATGGAATGTATAAATTAGCAGCAGCATTAAATGTGGGCCAAAGAACTGTCAGGGTTTCCAAATGATCCTTTCATAGAAGTACTTCTGATTCCTTAGTTTCTAATACATTTAAAAATAAGCTACATAACTTATTTTTATAGTGCCAGGAACTTTTCAAATAGAACCAATGCAAAAGCATTACTGAGCTGCTGGAAATTTTAAATAATTCTTTGTAAATGCCCTAGGTTAATTTAGATCTCTGAAAACACATTAGGAAATTAAGCTGTAATGTGAGCTAATTCAAATTTTAATTTGGCAAAAAGAACGATCCAGCCACATAGTTAATGTAAATAGAAGCATAACACAGAGAAATTAATGAGGTTTCCTTTCGTTGAATCTTAAAGGAGGCACGTAATTAGCTTCTTTTGTTATTATTGCTGGAGAATGTGGTATTGTCTTCGAGGTGTAAAGTAACTGCTGCTTGCAAAATGATGTGTTCATTTGTCTTTTCCTAATAATTATTTACATTAAACTCTTGTAGGATGAAGCAGCCCAGCCACTGAATCTTTCAGCCCGGCCCAAAACAGCTGAACCTGTCAAATCCCCAACATCTCCGACACAGAACCTCTTCCCAGCTAGTAAAAGCAGTCCAGTGACAGTGACGAACAAGAGTGGCATCCCCAGCCCGCTTGGTGGATCTCTGGGAAGAGGATCCTCTTTAGGTAACTAATCTGTCCTGGGGAAAGGAGAAAACTGGCAGGTTTCCTACATGAAATCTCAGCTTGAGCACACTTGCTTCTGAATTAAGTAGATATTTGGGCCTACGTTTCTGTTTAAAATGGAAAAAAAGATGGCAGGAAAGATTTTCAAAGAACTCTTGAATGCCAAGGTTTTATAAGAGTAGCTAAAATGATGCAGCAGTAATATGCATCTACAAGAAATACAGCAAATAAATATATAGCATAAAAATATATGTGCATGCATACTTATACACATAAGTAAATAGAGATGCATATATAAAACATGTAAAAGAGGTTTGTATGAATATCTTCCCCAAAGACATCAACTGGGTTTATACATGCAGAGTTACCTTTTGAATTTTAACCTCTGGATTAAACAAACAAAAAAAATCTTTGTATGCACATAGAGCCTGACTAGATAATAAACATACACATATAATGGCTCATGTCATTAGCATACATGCAATGCAACAGTGTAACACACCTTAAAATAAACAAGTTTTCAGGTACTTTCTTGAACCAGGGTCAGGGAACATTTGGTATCTCCATGGTTTATGGTAAAGCAGAAGCCAGGCAAGAAGGTAACTCCAAATGTGGTTTTCAGCTAATTCTGTTAGTTTTACCTGGAGCAGCATTCTAAAAAGAAATCTAATTCTCTGCATTCTGGGTGTTAAGTTCATCTTACAAAGACCATATGCTGGATATACACATATTTATTTTTTTTTTAACAAAGACAGAAAGGCTTCAGTGCAGGCAGTTTATTATTTGTTCATTTTTTTATTCATGTTTTTATTATTTGTTGACCCAGCCGTCATTTTTTTTTATTCATATGATTGCAAATAGGGAATTTTTGACCTGAGTTCAAGATTCTTTAATTAAGAGATAATGTTTATTAAGTAATGAAACAAAATTGATCTAAAAGCTATGTATGAAGACTACCTTAACCAGTCAAGAGCTCCAAAATGTAGATGATCAGCCCTAAAGTTCAAATAGTAAATTTTAACAGTGACTAAATGCTTACTACAGACCACTTATTCACAATCTGTAGCTCAAGTGTACTTGTAAAATATATAGAAACACTTGTGAATGATGAACAGATATGTTAAATACATACATTAAATACATAAAAATCATGATTTGTTCCATTCCCAAACCACTTGGGAGCATCATGGTCTCTAAAAGGTACTTTCTACAGCTAGCTAGATATTCTACCTGTCAATTTATTTCCAGCTATCGTTGCACTAATATTAGAAAGTTGCATATCAGTTTGAAGTCACAGACCATTCCAGAGAAATAGCTAGAGAAGACAGGTGTGAATAGGTGTGCCTAAGGTGTGAATATTTTTCATGTAAAGTCATAAAAACTTTTCCTGTCACTCCTTAAGTATAAAAGAAGCCAGGGACTCATTGTCAAAAATCAGCTTTTGTGCCGTTTTTACGATAAATTCAGGTGATTGGGAGTCTAAGTCTCATTAAAAGTCATGCAGATATGGTTCCCAACTTACTTAGTCTCCAGAATGGAACTTAGTTGCTGAATCAGTTTAGAGCATTGGAAATTTTATCCAGCAAGAACAATGGTTTTTCTCCAATTGTTACTTTTATTTTGGAGAGGGGTGCTTCATTCAGACAGAAAACATCACAGTGCTGTCTAAAACATCACAGTTTGCATCTCTTCTCATCCAGACCATGGTGTTAAATCAACCGTTTTGTTCCCAGGGTAAAGCATGAGAAACCCTTAATTGTAACCTTTTTTATTTTAAAAGAATTCAGGGTCCTTCAAGGTTGCATTGGCTATATTTTACTCAGCTGAACTTCAATGAAGTCAAAAGAATATGAAAATTGTCTTTGCAGGAGAATTCCAGGTCTTAGCCTGTTAGTTTGTGTTTGTTTGGTTTGGTTTTTTTTATAGTGGGCTGTTAGTAAGTGCACAGATCTAACAAATTCAGCACTTTTATAACAGGCATTTGCTTGTCAGGCAGATGCACAGGCCACGCAAACTTTGATTGCTCAAAATTTCCTGGCTAGAATGTGTATAGATAAATCTGTCCATGTGTGGTATAGAGGATACTCCCATGCAGGAACAGGTGGATCAAGTTAAAGCTTCATCACAGCAACACAAAACAACCAGTCACAAAATAATTGCTGTCTTTTGGTCTCAAATCAGAAACTGTATCTGAGGTACTCATCTTTACCTCTAGCATACACTTTAAGATGCAACAGGAATGTTTTGTGCATGTTCTGGAGTTTCTCTTTCTGTCCAGAGTGACAGAAAGCAAGCCATTTTTTCTCTACTGATTTAGAGCTTTGTACTCGTGTGATACAAGGTGATAACAAGCTCTGCCTCCCAAAAATAACTGTGGGTGCTCTTTCTGAGATTGAAAGCTAGATGTCTGGAGTGATGGTTCTCTCGATAAAGAAATTCTAAAAATTGACATAGACTTTCATGGCCAAGTAAACAAGATTTCCTCCTTCTTTGCTCATTTAATTGATTATTATTAATACTCTAAAGACTTCCCAGTTCAGCTTCAGAATACTGTTGTCTTAAACACATATTTAACATTGAACTTTGAGTCTATGAGTATGGTCAGATACCTCAATATCAGGCTAGGCCAAGACTTCAGTGGTTGTATTTATAACAGCAAAAGAAGTCCATATGCTTATCAATCACTTCTATAGATTAATTCAGCCTTCAAACAGACGCTTGCCCCTCCTCCTCATTTTGCAGATGTTAGTTGGGTGCAGCTCTAACAGTATGAGAGGTGAGTGCTTACCCCGGATGCTAATTTGGATAATTACCTAAATAAAGTATGTTCTCTGTTTATAGATATTCTTTCCAGTCTTAATTCACCTGCCCTGTTTGGGGACCAGGACACCGTAATGAAAGCCATTCAAGAGGCTCGAAAAATGAGAGAGCAGATCCAAAGGGAGCAGCAGCAGCAACAGCAGCCACATGGTGTTGATGGAAAATTGCCCTCCATGAATAACATGGGTCTAAACAACTGCAGAAACGAAAAGGTAATGTCTCCTGTTGCCACACAGTCTGTCATTCATTCTTCATTTCCCTGCAAATAGCTTCTTATTTTTATATAAAATTTCTTTTTAGAGCTTTTAGCCATCTCTGATTTCACATTGCATACAGCTTGTCACTTAACAGTGCTGTGCTACAAACTTCTCTACGTTTTCATGGCAGCATTCAAAAAAACCCAGTGCACTCATGATTAAGCTGTAAGCACGCATACAACAATGTGGAAAACGAACTGGTTGAAGCTACCATTGTTTGTGGTCACTAGATTTTTGATTGTGCTTTTGAGAATGATTGGATTGATAAATATGGCAAAAAGGCCAATTATGTACTAGTGTGGTCAAGTATTACAATGCTATTGAATGTATCCGTGTGTGCTTGAATCTGTGACACGGATGCAACAAAGTATTTAGGCTCAAACCAGTGCTTTTGTCTCTTCATTTCAATGGGAAATTAGAGATCAAAGTTCTTTGTTGAATCTTGGCCGTAGTTTCCAAAGACTAAAATGAAATGGGGCACTACAATAAAACAGTAAATGAGAGAAATTGGTGAGAGAATGTGACCAGCATTGGACGGAGCAGGAGATCGTTCAATAGCAAGCTGGGATCATATCTGAAAGGTGAAGAACAGTTTCTACCACACACACTTTAAAGACCATTCAGAGGACAAAGGAGTCTCTTGGAAAATTCTTTGTATCTCTGTTGTCCTGCTCGGCGGCCTTTCCAAGGTCTACAAGATCTGCTCCAGGAGCAGGTCTCTGTGTGTACAACAGAGCCAGGGAACACTGAATCAGGTAATTGGCTGAGCTATAAGGCAGCCCTTTTGATGAAGAGTGCTTCTCTGTTAGCTTCCCTAGAGGTGGCTTATGCTGCAAAAAATGCAGCACACAAGTAATTTTTCACCCCTGACACAAAATCAGTTATATACTACAATACTTATTCCAGTTAACTTAGAAAGGGGAAAATATTATCCCAGTAATCACTACGGTATTGGCAAATAGAAACAGTTACGGTGCAGTTTAGTAATGAATGAAAAGAAAGCTGACACATTCAGTAGCCTATAAAACAACTAGTGTTTCAGACTATTTGCTGGAAAAAAAAAAATAATACTGAAAACCAGGTAGCTTTCAATGCCTATAATTCATTAATGAAAATTCTGTGATATATCTGTATATTAGAGGGTAGGTTCTTTGTATCTTGGGGTAAGGGGGAAGATTATATTATACTCCATAGGCTAACGGGAATTTTTAGTCTGGGTTGAGTATAAGACTCAGCAGAATATTAACTATATTTTAAACCATGAATTTGATGATACTATGATCTTTTCTCAACCCACAAGGGAATACTCAGTGAGTAAGTGGATTGTAGCATGGCGCAGAAAGGCAAAGAAATGTTGTAAACAGACCCATCAAAGATTGATACATACTTTTTAATCTACATTTTATATTTTTGCTTGATAGGTTCTTTACAGTACTCAAAACAAGAGAAAGGCTCAGTGTCTATTAAAAAGATTTGCTAAACTGTTACCACACAGGATTAGCAATGCTTTTACAAGTCAAATTCAGATGCTAATAAATATGTATTTCTGCTGGTGTTAGTTTAAATGTCAGCATCGAAAAATTCATTTAATACAGATTGATACTATGGAAAATTATAGAACTTACTAAGTGATCAAGCAGCCCATATTCAGACAACACTCTAATTGTAAAATCAGTGTTTGTCTTCACTAAGAGGTAGGGTACTAAAGCCCAAGTTATAAAAATAAAATAAATGTCACACCTATGATCAGTATTAAGAGTTTATAAAATTATGCTTATTTTAAAGTATATTTTATGCATTTCAGTGGCTTGACATTTAAAAATATCTAATACACTATAAGGGCTATTAAAAGAATTCTTAACATTTGATTTGACTTTGAAAAGTAAGTATAAAAATGACATCCACTTACTTATCAGGTCTGCTCCCTGAGTATTTTCAGTACTATGTTTACGTCTTGTATTCGATATAACAAGTTTCTATTTTGTCTTTCACCTTGTAAAGCAGAGTCAGTAAATATTTCAGTGAATAATCTGAAATTTCTTTTTTGTGCCGGTTACTAGCAATACACAGATTGATGTACAGCTTCCAGATTGAGGTTATACATCAGGCAGTCAGAGGAAAAAAAATTTTTTTACTTGCAAATATAGCAGAGTCAATTGGAACTCTTTAACAAATATAAACAACATCATTCTCAAATGTCATCTTTTATGGGGAGACTTTTCATGGTAGCACTTGCAACTTTTAAAACTGAAGAATAAAAAGCAGCAAGGAAATCTGTTGTTAAATCTCTCAGTGCCCTTATATAATCCTGCTGGGTTTATTTATTGAAGCATGTACTATAGAGTGAACCATTAAGGCAAGAAAAAGTTGTAATATGTACTCTGGTTTTACCTTTGGTATGCTAGTCTGTTATCTTTGCTCTGTAGATGCAAGAAAAGGCAGGGTTTACAAAAGAATAGGATATAAATCAGTCATTTTAAATGATGATATATCCCCACTCTCTATCCTAAAGAAAATAAAAGAATGAAGTCAGTCATGAATACTAAGGGAATGTATTTATATTTTATAGCAAGTATAAAATACATTAAAACCAGAAGCATCCTTTGCACAAACAGAATTCTAGAATACTCTTCTCTCCCCCTTTACCCTCTGCCTTTCAATTTTTACATTATGATATATTTCTTTTACTCTAAAAATGATGGGCAGGACGATCAAAATGGGGGGGTGGGGGAGGAATGATAGATCACTTCAATTAGAAAAACATAATTTTGAAATAATTGTATGCCAAGAAGATTGTGTGTAGTTTCTATCGTAATCCCAGCGAAGCTCTGATAACATAGTTGCAATTTTGGATTGGTTTCTTTTGAAGAATCAGGACCCTATGTTTTCAGGACCAAATTTTCAGAAATGGCTTCAGGTAATTAGACTTGTATAAATGAGTAGATAGAAGCTGGCACCAGAAAAAGATGACAAATTAATTGCCTGCAGCTTCTTTAAAAAAGCTATTGAGTTCTGGTCAGTTACTGGTCTTCAAGTTCAGATAGCTGGTAATAGTTTGTTGTGCAAATGATTGCGCTTACAAAATTATGTACATAGCTTCAAAGCCTAGGCTTAGGCCTTTTTGAAAATGTGTCATTTAAATCTCAGAAAGCTTTGTATTTGGTTAGAGACACAGAATTGAAAATTGCCTCTGTTCATATTCCGCTGTTCAAAAAAAATCTCCTACAAAGCTTTAAAAGTGCTCACAGAGATTTACTCATCAGAAAGACCAAAACAAAAACATGCAGCACTCTGGCACAGTCAAACTTTATCATTTGCTAAAGTGTTACAGTTAGGCTATACTTTTGAGATTATGCCATTCTATGGATATCTACAAACACGAAGTTGTTATTTCAGCTTGTGTACTGTTGTGGGTTAGGGTCAGCAGGTAAGCACCATGCAGCCGCTTGCTCACTCCTCTCCAGTGGCATGGAGAAGAGAATCAGAAGGGTAAAAGTGAGAAAACTGATGGGTTGAGGTAGTTTAATAAGTAAAGCAAAAGCTGTGTGCACAAGCAAAGCAAAGTAAGGAATTCGTTCACTGCTTCCCATCGGCAGGCAGATGTTTAGCCATTTCCAGGAAACCAGGGCTTCAGCATGCGTAACAGTTACTTAGGAGCACAAATGCCAAAACTCCAAATGTTTTCCCTTCCTCCTTCTTCCCCTAGCTTTTATTGCTGAGCACGATGTCATTATGTGTGACCTTTGGTCAGTTTGGGTCAGCTGGCCTGGCTGTGCCCCTTCTTGTGCACCCCCAGCCTACTCGCTGGTGGGCCAGGATAAGAAACAGAGAAGGCCTTGATGGTGTAGAAGCACTTCTCAGCAATAGCTAAAACATCCCTGTGTTATCAGCACTGTTTTGGTCACAAATCCAAAACACCGCACCATGCAAACTAAAATTAATTTTGCCTGAGCCAACGCCAGCACAGTGCACACAAGGCAAAAAGTCATTATAGCAGAGCTGACTTTTTCTACTCCACCTGGTGCTGATCAGGTGTAGTCTGACTGAGAAAAGGGAAGAAGTAACTGTTTTAGTGGTTTCACAGAGTACAGAAACACTGGTGAAGGGGAGAGAATTAGGAAAATCCAGAAAATAGGCTACAGACCTCTTTCCGTGTGATATGAGCAAAAGTAAAATCATACAAAAATTGGCTTTTTTAGAGGATATGACTTTTTTCCAGTCAAGCCATGTCTACCTTCAACAGAAAAAGAGTACTTAAACAAAATTTGCATTGCTAGAGCTACTTGTATTTATTTTAGTATTTCAAACTAGCATGATTGCCTAGATTTGCTTTGATTTAAGGCTTTAAATGAACCTGAAAATGCTATATAATTTATAAGATAACTGACATTATTTTTAAAAGGACTAGCTCCTATCTTTTTTGTGCATAAAGCATGAAAACACTGACAAAAACACTTCAGAAAATCTTTGTAGAAAAAATATAGGCAGAAATGTGTTAATTTCATTGGAGAAAAATATATAAAGTCAAGACAGAACATATAACCAATTAATAATCAAAACATATCTGCTAGACCCAAGGATATACCCCCACCTCCCCACTTACTTACCCATGAAGCATATTCCTTGAGATCTGAGAGGAAGCAGAATGTAATATCGCATTTTTTATGTTTATATTCCATTCCCACTCTTTTGTAGATTTTCAGGCAACTGTGTATTTGCAGTAGGAAACCAGAATTAGACCCCAAAATAAATGACATGAGTCATCGCCTACTTCCTGGGAATTATGGTACTTTAGCACCTCTTATAATGAGCCTTTTATTCCTTTCTTATTTCTAAATCAAAGTTTTACAAATTGAATCCACATCATTTATCCTAATATAGACCGCAGTTTGTATGCAAAATGTGTACATTCTTAAAAACGTGTATTATTTACCCTTGGAGATGCTACAGTCTAT